TTTTTTTTTTTGAGACAAAGTCTTGCTCTGTCATCCATGTTGGAAGTGCAGTGGCACAATCTTGGCTCACTGCAACCACCGCCTCCCAGATTCAGGTGATTCTCCTGCCTCAGCCTCCTGAGTAGCTGGGACTACAGGTGTGCGCTACCATGCCCAGCTAATTTTTGTATTTTTGTAGAGATGGAATTTCTCCATGCTGACCATGCTGGTCTCAAACTCCTGACCTCAAGTGATCCACCCACCTCGGCCTCCCAAAGTGTTGGGATTACAGATGTGAGCCACCATGGCTGGCCAAGACCCCATAACATTAATAGAACATTATGCCCAAGCTAAGCCTTCAGTTCAAAACCTCGACTGATACTTTGGGAAGACAAAACAGTGCTAATTATGGCAAAGAATCTTCCTTCTGCAACTTGAAATGTGGAATCAGTCGTTGTCTGGAATAATAGACTTTTATTCATCTTAATTAGTTGCCTTTTCCACTGTTGCTTCACAGCATGGTATGATACAAAGGACACACAGACGGTCTTGGGTAGCGAGTTCCAAAGTGAAGATCCAAAGAGAGTGCCTATGAACAATTATTAGCAATTCTCCTGACAACACCAGACAACACCAGTTATGCTAGCTAGAATCTGGCTATCAGTCCATCCTTCACCTTGTCCTAGAAAAGGTTCAAGGCAGTAAAAACACTGGATCCTGGGTCAGAAAAACAGGTTTCACTCCTTATTGTGTCACTACAAGTCCTGGAACATTGAGGCTCAGCATGAGCATTAGTACTTCTGGTATTTTGGAGATAATAAAACAGCTTTTGCTTATTTCCCAGGGATGTTGTGGAAATGAAATTGATAGAGGCAGGAGGCAGAGAAATCTCCTAAGCAGATATGGGAGGGTCCTTAGAGAACCTCTGACCTACCAAGGTCATTGTGCTCAGGAGTCTTGCCTAAACATGCCCCTAGTGAAAAATTCCATCCCTTAACACACGTGCAGTAAGGGAAATAAATCAACGTGGAGTGACTCAGATTAAGGGCCTGCATGTGCATTGAAAGGGAGGGGTGGAGCTGCCAGGAATTCACGCCTTTTACAAACAGGGAACGCAGTCCTACCAGGGGAACATAGAAGCCCTTGTATTCAACCGTGTAGAGGGTAACCTGCAACCTGCTTTCAGGACCCCTCTTTTTGCTGAGAGCTTTCGCATACTAAATTCTACTCCACTCACTCTTTTAAGTGTCTGTGTGCCTAAGTTTTCCTGGCATGAGACAAGAACTCGGATCTAGCTGAACTAAGGAGTAAAAAGTCTCCTTCAAAATGAGATACATGTGCTTCCAGAACTGCAGCGTACCCTACTAATACATCTTCTTGCCAGAGGGGAGTTATTTGGGCAGGAAAGGACAAATACATAAAATTGTACTAAAACATTCTTCACTGGTCAGGTCATAACATCATTTGGGTCATAGGTCTAAGTCTACGTCTAGGCCTATTTAGGTCTAGGTCTGAAAGGTAGATGGATTCAGGGCATAGAGAAATCTCATGAAAGTCCCTGGCCAGGCACTAAGAAAGGATTCTGGTTTCACCTGAAATGTCTTGGACAACAATAGGACTGGGGTGGATTAGGAAGATTCCTGAAAGCTGTTACTGACCTCTGAACCTAGTTGGAGAACTTCATCCCCTAAACTTCAGAACTTAGAGAACATTACAGAAGAAAGAGGCTGAGCAGTTATTCTGCACACCTGTTTCTCAAAATGCAAGCTCCACCTTCTAGAAACATACTTTGCACTGCAGAGTTCTCCACCCTGACTTGAACATTTTCAGGCAGTCCACTGAGGCTTAGGGACAGGGACCAGAGACACAAGAGCCACAATCTTTGGGAATCTTGCCTCTGAAATCCCAGCTCATAGTACTCCCAAGAACAAATGGGGCTGAGCACTGTGGTTCATGCCTGTAACTACAGCACTTTGGGAGACCAAAGCAGGAGGATAGCTTGAGCTCAGGAGTTTGAGACCAGCCTGGGCAACACAGTGAGACCTCATTTCTACGGAAAAATCAAAAAATAAAATAATAAAAATGACAAATGGGAGGAGGTCTTTAGCAAAGCATCCTATGGAGTTTCCAGAGAGGAGATGGTCATAGGTTCTGAGAATACAGTGATGAAAGTCAACAGCAGCACTGTCCAATAGAACTTTCTGTGATAAAGGGAATGTTCTCTCTCTGTGCTGTCTAGTACAATAGCCATTAGCTATGTGCCACAGTTGAGCACTTGAAACCTGGCAAGTGCACTGAGAAACTGTTTTGAATTTTATTTCATTTTGATTAATTTTCATTTAAATTTAAGTAGCCACACATGTCTAGTGGTCACTGTATTGGCGAGTGCAGGGACAGACCCTGGAACCAAACGGTTTGTGTTGAAATCTTGTTACCACCACTTACTTGCTGTGTGACCTTAAGGACTTATTTAACCTCAACTTTCCCATCTGAAAAAAAAAAAAAAGAAAAAAAAAGAAATAATATTAGTATATGCCCTGAAGGGTTATGGTAAGACTTACATGAAATAACTGATGTAAAGCATTTAGCCCAGAGCCTGGCAAACAAGAAGTGCTCTGATGTCATTATTTGCTATTCAGCATGCAGTAGGGAAACCTTCAGCTCTCAGCCAAGTCCAGAAGTTTGAGGAGTTCCATGAATGCACCAAGGATTTTACCTGTGAAAAAGATGTAGGTGGAGCCTGTTTTGGTCTCGTCCTTCCTGCAGATGTAGCCGCTGCAGAGCTGCCCCCAGCAGCTGAATTCACCCGTGTCCGCCGAGGTAGAGTTGACCAGAGTCAACTGGCCGTAGCGCTCATTCTGCTTGACACTAGGAATAAAAGAGACATGAACTCAAAGGAGGTCAGACCTGGGCTGAGGCCCTCCAGCTGTCACACTTGGCTCCATGGTTCTCTGGGCAGACTTGCCCCAGTCTTTCTCCAATGTCACAAAGAATGTGTCTGGCTTGTCAAACACCCCTAGAATTTAAAGTATAATAATAAAAAATAATAATGAAAAAAAAAACTGAAAAAAAAAGAAATCAGGAAAAAAATGACATTTTTCCATTTTAAAGTTCGTTCTATAACAATCTGAGCAATATGATGGATTGTTCGGCTTTTCAGTATAATACAACGAGGTAAATATTTTTTGTAACAATTCAAAAAATTTTATTCATAACCATATTTCTGGATTTTACTACTTTTTTTCAGATTTTATGCAGTGATAAAATACACAGAAATGTTAATCGTGAAAGTGCAATATTATACACTTGTCAAAACTCAAAGAATGAGCAATACAAGATGTGAACCCTAACTTAAACTATGGACTAGCTAATGATAACGTATCAATATTTTTTCATCAGTTGTCAAAAATGTACCACATTAATGTAAGAAATTAATAATGGGAAAACTGTGTGCAGGAGGGGAGGAGGTAAATGGGCCCCCTGTATCTTTTTCTCCATTTCTCTGAAACCTAAAACCACCCTAAAAAACAAAATCTATCACTAAAAACTGCAATATTCTGTTTTAAGAAAATAAAATATGAACATTATTTTCACCATACATTGCTACATATTTTAATAAACCGATGTGTCACCACTTAAAAAAAAAAAAAAAGAAAAAGAAAAAAACAACGTGTTTGGCAGTGGTTCACAGCTATAATCCCAGTGTTTTGAGAGGCCAAGATGGGAGGATAACTTGAGGCCAGGAGTTTGAAACCAACCTGGGCAACATAGCAAGACCCCATTTTTACAAAAATTAAACAATGAGCCTGGCATGATGGCTGACTCCTGTAGTCCTAGCTACTTGGTATGCTAAGGCAGGAAGATGGCTTGAGCACAAGAATTTGAGATGCCAGCAAGTCATGATCATACCACTGCACTCCAGCCTGGGTGACAGAGCAAGACCCTATCTCTAAAAAATAAAGAGTATGTTTCTGATAAATGGGTGTGTGGGGGAAGCAGAGAGAAAAGCCTCCCTCAAAGGAAATAATAAACGTCAAAGAGAATTCCTCTTCTTGGAGAACATAATTGTCCTCAGACTTGCGGTTTCCTTAAGTAAAATCCTTGGTGCAAAAGCTACGCAGCCTCAGAAGCTCAGCCAGAAAGCCTTGGGCTGGTGTTTTGCTTTCAGTCTGTGTCTCATGAATTCCTTTCTAAGCAGTCAACATGAATGAAAGTACACAGCATTATCCAATACCCAAAATCCCTTTCATCGATAAAGGTAAGTCTCCGCATTAACTCTTGGTATCTTAGACACGTTACGTTATCATGTTAAAACCAAAAACTTTCTTTTAGGAAAAAAATGCATTGGCTGATAAGATCCTGAGCCCAAAGCATGCATGCAGCCCACTTCTAATAAAGTATTTAAAGCCTTTGGGTATTTGGACTTTTCCTCTGACCTTACTCTATTATTTCTTCTTTTATTTTTCTTCCTTATCTCCTGTATTTTGTATCTTGTTGCATGGCAAATATATTTGCAAACCCCTTCAGTTTCTTTTTGAAACGAAGAGGGGCACATATATTTATTATTAAACACAAGCATTAGCCAATTTCAATGGTAATTAATTCTATTATATTGTGGCAGAAATCCAGATGTATCAGATTTATTATCCCCACACTGGAGGTTCCCCTGAGGCCGAGAGACTCAGCATATGGGGGCGCCAAAATAAGCAGTTTTAATCTGGGGACTCATCTCAAATATCCAAATGCTTCACTCTTCTGAGATCCACATACTTTTATGATGTAGTTGAGATTCTCCAGTTTATCTTGCAGCAGTATCGATACGGTGACCAGTTTACATTTAGCATAGGGCAAAATGTCAGGTGAGTTGGTCCTGAACGCAGCCCTGTTCTGGTTCACTGCTGAATAGCTTGTTTTGTCCACCAGTTCTGTCAAGAGG